CGCACGACTGTGCTGAGAGACGTAAGGCTAGCGCGCAGCCGACCGTCGACTCGCACGCGAGTTACAGCCGCCATCGTCGAATGCACGAACTCCCCAGTAGGTGTGTACGCGCGCGTCCCAGCACCCCTCTTATGCACCGCCAGCGAGCGTGCCGCCTCTTGGGTGACAGTGCACTAACCTGAACTATCGATTTCTTTCCTGAACTATTCGACCCGTTTCAAGCTGGACTATTTGTCTAGACATTTTGAACCCTTTATTTCGGGCCTTAAACCGAGAGATCCAAGTTCCACTAAATTGTGTATGAATCCTTAATCAATGCTTTTCGATTAAGGAGTGTGGTCGAAGAGTCCCTATGCCTTACTCGAGAGTTTCTCGAGTCGGCAAATTGGGAAGCTCGTATTGCTATTGGACGGAGCCGTATGTTGTTCATAAGGGTTACTTTCGACTCGTGGAGTCGATGTCTTGAGAGTATGAGCATAATGGGATTGTGTTTTCTATATGTGTGTTACCATGTCGATGTCTCTGATAGAGACACACGACCCATGATGAAATCGTGAGCAAGTTATCAGTGTGCCTCGAGCACGAGGCTGAAGCTTGACGTCACGTGTCCACCTTGATTGTGAGGCAGTCGGAGCACACTAGCAATGCACCAAACGACCTGTTGGGGTCTTGTGTTTTGTTAGGTACAAAGCAAATTGTTGATACTCATGGGTATAGGCCAAGCCGGACTAGTCCCTTGCAAGAGGATGTACGCCTGAGCTCGGGCAGGATTGATCACGCAAGAAGGTAAACATATGAGCAAAGGGCGAGTCGGATGGAGTCCTGTATGTGAGTGTACACTTTCTGAGATTAGGGCGATAAGACTCAGGAGAGCGGGGTCGAGTTTCAGGTAGGATACTCAGACCTCATGATTGGGGATTTCCGTTTGAGTCTTTCGTCTTTCCGTTGGATGCGTGTTCTTTAGTATTTCCGAGGACGGAAATCTTTTAAGGAGGATAGACTTTAGCGCCCCGTTCGATTTATAGGATTTCTCGGATTATTCTATTTATCGAATTCTATTTTTGAGATTATATTTGTTATATTGGTTGTGAGGTACTTAAATTATTGGTTTAAGTACTCAATCATTATATTTTTTAAGCGTTCGTCGTTTGGCGATTTCGGTTAAATCGCGTAATTCGGAATTAGCCCGTTCGTTTGTTTGGATTTTCGGATAATTGTGGAATTATTATTATTATTATTATTATTATTATTATTATTATTATTATTATTATTATTATTATTAGTATTATTATTACTATTATTATTATTATTATTATTATTATTTAATTGTCTAAATGGAATAAATTGTTTGATTATATGTTTATTGTGTGTGTAAAATAAATATATATATAATGTTGGTTTAAATGTATTTAATTTTTCGAGTCATCGTATTTATATTCCGGGCATTACATATTTATATATGTAACGAGCCTCGAATATTCGTTAAGTGTTGAGCCCGAGAAACCAGCCGTGTGCCCGTGGACATCCCAACCCGACGCCCATGACCCGCGAACCCAAGACCCAAAAGCGACCCATTTCTATTAGCTTGGAGAACAAGATCTTAAAACCTAAGTCTATTAACGTGTGAGCTCTTCTCTCCCCTCTTCCCATAACTCATCGCCGCAAACCCTCCCCTCTCTCACGCAATCAGTAGCCCGCAAACTCATCTCTCTCAAAAATCTCTCACTTCGTTTTCACGCAAACAGAAGGAAAGAAATGATCGCTTCCTGCTCATATCTATCTCTCTCTCTCCCGATTACGTACAGAGCAGAAGAAGAAATCCCAGCCTTCATCACAACTCCTCGGCCGTCGCTCGATCGCCGAAAGACCCCCCTGTCGCGCGCTTTAGGCCACCGTGATCCCGCCGCTGCCCTCCGCCATCGCTAGCCAAACGCGGACACGCACCGACGAGCCACCACCAGCCTCGGTTCGCGAGTGTCTCGATCAGAAAGGACCACCATTCCACTTTCGCAGACCACCGGGAACACGCACAACCACTCGCGAGGACGTAGCACCCACACCTGCAGGCCACACGAAAGCAGCCGGGCCCGATACGCATACGCCAACAGCCCGTCTCGGCCTTCTCTCATTTCGTTTTTGTATGTTATACCCGAGAACGGTACTCCGAGGCTTGAAACCATCTTATTTCTAATTGTGTTTATGTATATTATGTGTAGTTCTTGCATTTATGTGACGTGTTGATTGATTCATTATATGGAATATTGGTGGATTAATGTGATTTCGTAATCGAGCTTGGTAACCGTGAATGATGTTGAGAGATGCTTAAGTGTTGTTTTGTGGAAATCATGAAGTTGTATATCACATGTGATGTTATTCGTGAATTTTACAGTCTCTGTCGAGCCTCTGAAAGGGTATGAAAAACTCGTTTTCTGAAATTACGTTCTTCATATGATTTCAAGTTCATTCGGTTGTGGTTCTGTGAGTTTTGGAATTTCGAAAATCCGATTTGAAATGAGAGAGTTATGATTTTTACAAAATTGTCGCGCAAGCAGTTTTTAACAAATCCCGGCAGCATGTGTGTGTTGAATGTTTTGTCTGTTTGTTGCATCTTAATGTACTCAAATGAAAATGTGATCTTCATGAAAGTTATAGGTCCTTTCTAAGCTTTCTGATGAGGTACAATTCTTGCTGATATGATGACTGTAGCTCAGTTTGTGTTAGATTGATGTAGGATATGCGTGTAGTGAGTTATACTTTTGGACAACAAGGTGGTTCTAAATGTTAACTGATTTTGACCCCCTGTAACAACCTTATCTGCTTTAACGTTCTAAATAAAAGTTGTAAAACTGTTTATTAGGTTTATAACAAGGTAAGAAACATGTAAATATGATAAGTGTAGCATGAGGTGTGATTTTTATAATAATGTTGTGCTAGCAGTTTTTCTGAAAAATTGGCTGTATATATGATGTTAATGTTTGGTCTGAAATTGATGTCCTAACATGATCAAATGTGAAAGTGGTCTTCATGACAATTGTTGCTAGGTTTCTTGGTTGTCCATAGGTTTTTAAATCTGGTCCATTGGAGGTCAATAGCATGAATTAGACTATAAGTACTGAAGTGCTGTTTGTAAACTGAATCAAATTCTGACAGATTTTATAACCTAAATGTTTTGTGTTTCAAACTGTTGATAATACCTTTATTTGCCAATGTGGTCTTCAGCAAAGTTTTTTATATTTGCGTTAGCTACATTTTGGTTTTTGAGTTCCTCAATAGCATGTCCGTAGCCCTATTTATATTGAATATACTGAGGTTCTGTCCACTATATGTTTCCAGATTCTTCACAACATCCCTGTTTCATATATTTGATGGTTAAGACCTGCTAAATGCCATTATTTGCTTCTGATGTCTTCATGATAATTGTAGAGGCATGTCTTAGGATTCATATGCAATTGGATTTGTGTCAATATGAATTATGTGCTGTAAATGGTGTCGATTTCAAAATCGCTGCGCGAGTTATGTTTTAAAAATTCATGTGTTGTTTTCGAAAAATATAATTTGTCTTTTATTGCTTGCTTATATGAACTATATGGGTCGAGTTTGATCATCATGAATGTCGAGATGAGTGAACCCACTTGTGGAATAGTTATTCATAGGATTATTTTGATATGTAGGTATTGACGAGTCGAGCTCGCCTTCCTATCGATTGTTGTGCTTTATCTCCTGCTGTATCTAGATGGTTTTTATTTAAAATTTGCTATGCTATAAATGTTATAAATTTATAATTTGTGGTATGATCAATATATGTATGGGAACCATGTAGCCTTCGATGTGAGCTGTACCGGCCGTCGAACGGTTATCCCCGTAGCTATAGAATATACCCGTAGGGTGGTCTCCTTTTGTGAGCCGTAAGACCAGGGCATCGGTCCCTCGACTGGAGATCCTCGTTTATAAGACCAAGGTGAGGCCTTGGCCGGCGGGGTGGTTTTACTCTCACTGGCTGGACACTCGATGTAAGGCCATAAGGCTTGGGCCGTGACTTTCGAGATATAGTCGGCAGTAGTCTATGCGTAGGTGTGCACATGAGTCTTGATTATTGATATTATTGATGGGAGATTGGGATAATAAATTGATTCGTATACATGCTGCGACCATACCTGACTTATTTATGATTACTGTTTTTATATATTGATAAATGTTTACTGCATAGTAATGAGCACTACGATTTCCAATTGTGCTCATTCCCACCTGTGTAATGCCCCGTTCGATTATTAGATTTTTTTGGATATTTTTTTATTGGCATAATTATTATTTATTTTATTTAATTGCCAAACCGATGTTATTATTATTATTATTATTATTATTATTATTATTATTATTATTATTGAATGCCAAATTGTCATTAAATGTTTAAATGTGTATTATTATTAAATAATCAATGTGTATTATATATATATAATAATATATATCCAGTTTTAATTTAATTATCGCGCGATCAAACCTAATTTAATATGGTTATCTCGAGCCCGAGGAAAACCGAGAACCCGCACGCCTAGCCGCATCGAGCTTTATTATTTTTCAGCCCAAAAGAGCTAAATATTCGGGCTCTTTTTGTTCAAGTATTATCGGCCTGTAAAAGCCCTTATATTCTCAGCCTATTATTGCTAATTATTCCGACCCGATTGGGGTGAATTATTTCGGCCTGTTCGAATTAATTTTCGATCCTTTCAGATAAACTAATTCGGCCCAATTTAATTGTCAGCCTATAATGTTATTAAATCCGGCCCAAATGAGTTAATTTTCAGCCCATTTGGTTAGGACCAATAACCTTATATCAAGCCCTAATTTCCAATCGCCACCACACATTTCTTTTTCTTTTCTTCTTCCCCGCTGCTGCGATTTCTTCATTACCCATCGTCTTCCTCGACAAAATTGGAGCCTCAACATCGGATTTCTGGCAGATCTCCCTGAGACCGAGCACCCGTACGGCGGCTGAAGGAAGACTATCGGCCGAGCAGCAACCGGCGACGGAAATTTCGTTCGTAGACGAGGGTGGCTCTACCTCTCTGTTGAGCGACCAAAGTTTCAACTTCCGGCGATAAGGCGAGCCGCCAAGACGAGGCTGACGAGCACCACCAGACGCGAGACCTCCGATGACCAAAGCCCTGTTTCCGGCGACTGAGAGCAGGTGAGACGACATAAGCAAGCAGCGGCGACTTTACCAGATTTCCGGCGAGCGCGGGCCAAGGGACGGCGACCTCGGACTGAGAGTATACTTCTTGTGACCAGACCCGCGCCGGCGGGCAACTAGGCGCAACGGACGATCGCTGGCCACTCACGGCCGAGTTGCAAGCAGCCACGGCAGGGCTGGGTTTTTCCGACGGCAAAAACCCGAACTTCCAACGACGGTATCCACGAGCAGCGGTGGAGTCCTTATTACGTTTCGGCGGGGAGAGCCGACCTTTGTTCGATGAGCAGCCGCCTCCTTGTCGAGTCAAACACTGCCGGGCTGAGGGACTGTCGGAAGCAACAGCCGTGGACTGAAGCGTTTTTCTGAGGACCCATCGCTAACGAGCAGCGACCGGGTGTATGTTCAGCCGCCAATCGGAGAGCACCCGGGCTGAGGGGCCGCCGGTCCTTCTTCCGGTGATTTGAACACCCCCGAGAGTGGGCTTTTTGTAGACGGAGGCACATTGGATTCGAACAGCCACCGAGAGCTTGAGCAGTGGCAGACGGGCCGTTGTCGAGGACGTATAGGTGTCCGGTCTGCAGCGAGTCGGGTCTTCCCGAGGCCGTTAGTGCCCATGGTCAAACTTCAAATCGATCTTTCTCTCTTCGTGTGCGATCGAGGAGTGTGGTAATCTCAATTTTTCTCTTTTATTTTCGTGCGTTTGGATCCTTGTTGTGTTCTAAATGTTGGTTTGAACCATAGAGATCGGGATATTATATTTCATGTATATGTATGTTCATGATGTTGCTTTGGTGTTATACTGGAAATTGAATAACATATGTTATGATTAAATGCTGTTTTTGTGTTCGTCTCTTCGGTTTGTTGTCGAAACTGAAGGACGTGGGTTAGTTTCGTGGAAATCCGAGAGTTCTGTGTACTTTGGAGTGTCTTATCATGTTAGTGAAAATTTCGGGTCATTTGGAGGTCTATGCATTGAGTTATGAATTTTTTAAAACCGAGCCTGCTGCTGAACTTTTGAAAAATCATCTCTTGTCATATTGCGGTGAATTTTTGATATGTTGGACCTCTGTTGACTTTGTACACTGTGTAAAAATTTCAAGTCTAATCTCGACTTGTAGCTTTGTGATTTGTTGAATTTATGCTCTGGTCAGAAACGTGATAAAATCATGTAAATTCGAATTCTTCTCCAAATATGCTGAATTTTGGATATGTTGTTATTCTCGTACTGCTTGTGTTAAAATTTCAAATAACAATTCGAAGGTTTGACTGGTGATCTAGGAATTTCATGTTATAGCTGAATTTTTGTAAAAATTATTTAGCTGGGTTAAAATGAGGTTTAAGGGCTGATATCTGGTGTATATGTGTATTTCTGGATGTTCTATTATGTGGTAAAGTTTCATTGAAAATGGCCGAGTACTTTTTGAAAAGATCCGGTAGTTACTAATTCTAGTATGTTTTTCTGGCAGCACCCAACCGAGTCTTGTTTTGGATATTTTTCCGACTTGGTTAACTTCCTCTTTACTCATCACTATGTTTTGCATGATTTATGTGTTATAAGTGATGTTTATATGGTTTATCGAGTCTAGACGGTTAGCCGTAAGTTCTAAACTCTATTAGGAATTTCCACAAACCACTTAGCTGATACGGTTTCGGCTAAGTGAATGTTATTGTTTGTGTTCTAAGTATTAGGATAATTATTGATAGGACTATCATGATAATTGTAGGTGTCTGACGAGCCGAGCTCTCTACCTACACGTGAATTTTGTGCTATCTCTTGCTCTTGTCCAGTTGGGTTTTTATTTAAAAGATGTCTATACCATAAATTATTTACATTTGTTGAATGGCGTGATCAATGTATGCGTGTGAACCATGTAACCCTTGTTGTGAGTTGTATGTCCTTCGAGCGATTGTCCCCGTCGTTGTGAGCTCTATGTCCTTCGACGGTGCCTATTGATAGGCAGTCTCCTTAGCCTAATGATAGGCAAGGCCGATGTGAGCTGTATGTCTTTTGGTATTTTACTCTCATTGTTGTGAGCTGTATGTCCTTCAATGGCTAATGTTAGATGTGGACATGAGTAAAAATATATGAATAGGAGATGTCATAATTGATTGATTCGTGTTCATGCTGCGACCATGCCAAAGTGTTATTGTACATGATTTATTGCATAGTGGTGAGTACTAGATTTTTCAACTGTACTCACTCCCACCTGCTCTTCACGGATGCAGGTTAAACAGTTGGCAGGTGACGAGACAAGGCGAGTGGGTGGTCTCGCTTATTTATTTATGATTATTATTTGCTTCCGCTCATCTATAATATTGTCAAACTGTTGCTTTGACTTAAATTTCTTTCCTGCTTAGTTTTTGGGATAAATTGATTATGTCGGTTTGAACCTTGGAATTATGTTTTGACTTTATGGTTTTGGAACTTAATGAATGCTAGTTAAATTTTGTAACTATTAGTATTGCATGTGTAGGTTTAATCTGATATGGTTATATGTTTGTTAAATTGTTCTTGGTAGTTAAGTATCGCCCGTTGAGTTTTAAATTTAATTGAGATTTTGCGAAAAATTAACTCTGATTTTTATAAATAATTTCCGTAAACCCTTTAAAATAAAGTGGGGAGTTACAGTTTGGTATCAGAGCCAGTCTGCGTTTCTGTAGACTGGTTTATATGTGAATAACTTGATTATGTGTTTAGACTTTGTGTTACCACTCGTCTTCGTCACGCCGCACTGCTGAAAGGTATGTTTTATAAGTATCAATGAAAATACTTATAATGTGAAATGCGAATTTTATATTTTTACATAGGTAGCAATGAAGCTGCTTATGATGTGATTCGTTGTTATTTGGGGCTTAGGAAACAGTTATCCACCTTTGATCAATGTTGAACCCTAGTGGTATAGAGTTGGGTTTTGACTTTAGAGGTTTCTCGTTTTGAATTCTCGATACGTCGTTATCAAGTTAAGTTCTGTCCATAGCATCTTCTCGCTATAAGACTCTATTTAGTGTCCTCGAGTAAGGACCATTCGTGAGCTATCTTGAAAGAGAAGGCTTAAATGGAGGGAGCAAACGACCGGAGAAATCCCAAGTGTGTGGAATAGTCGAAAGTCTGTAACCATAAGATCCAGTCAATGAAAACTGAGAGTGTAAATCTAGTGTGTGGCACTGTCGCGACTCTCAGGGAGGTTAAGCCTCGAGAAGGGCGATGGTTACCAATTCCCCTGCGAAACTCGAACGTAAGTCATGAAGACTGATGCGTGGGTGAAAGACTACGACATTGTTGGTGGAACGAGTGGACCGATCCGACACCGCGTGAATAACTTATGCCACGATTACAAGACACGCGATTGTGATGAGGAAAAAAGGTATATATGTGTGTTGATATGCATGTTGTTGTTGCACTACATGACTGAGATTTAATGCGTGTGTATTTTGTTGTTATGAGTTTCATGTAGTTGGGTGTTGAAGTCTTAGTCAAGTATGTTAATCCTGAAACTCTCATATGTTTATGTGTGTAATAAAGAGGTTTCCAGGTGTTTATGATGCTGTTTAAAGTGTGAAACGAGTGCTTATGGCATAGAGATTATATTGACAAAGTTACATTGACATTTGCGAAATAAAACGTGAATTTACTGCTCTATTGTACTGCTGAAAAGGGCATGACATTTTCTGAAGGTGTGTTCTTCTGTCATGGACTCGAAGAAAGATGGGGTTCTGAACATAAATGAAAGGAAAGATTTAGTAAAGGAGACGGCTGAGATCGGAAATGTGGACAGAATTTCACCGGTCAAGCATTTGGAAGAAAATGCAGAAATGATGTTGCCGATATCGAGTTATGAAGATGAAGGAAAAAAGGGTTGAGTCCCAAGGTTTTGGGCTGGTTATTAATTAATGTTTTTGGGCCACTTGTTGGGCTTTTATTATTATCAGATTTATTATTATGTGTTTAGTTAAGGTTGAGCATATGTGATGTAAGTGGGACCAGTTTGTTACTATATTTACCCACTGGTGAAATGAAGAAAGGACATTAGAAGTCATAACTAAAATATTCCCCTTTTTATCTCTCCCTCTCTCCCTCTCTCCCCGTCTCTCTTGTATCTATCACCTTCTCCAATCTCTATCTAAGAATTCACAGTAAATTCAAGCTTATCAATGTCAGATTTATATTAATATTACAATATTGTAACATTTGGTATCTAGAGCATTTCGATCTGGGAAAAATGGCAGAAGTCACACGGTTTAAAGACCTGCAAGAAGCACAAAAGAAAATCGATCAGACACTCCAAACAGAAGCTCTGAAGAGAGAAGCCACTGAATTAAAACTCCAGGAACAGATCTCAAATCTGGGCACTGAAATGAAGGGTTTATCCACAGAAATGCAGGGGCAAATGCAAAATATGAGTGGTAAGTATGACAATCTCGCAAACACCTTGGCCTCAATTCAGTTACAATTGTTAAACATGAACAACAAGGGGCAGCAAAGTGAATCTATATTTGGGCCCTATTCTGGTACCAAACATGACAGTTCTAGCAGGCAAACACCCAATTCTAACCCCAAGATACAGTATGAGCAACAACAAACTAATACACACATCATCAGCCCCTTGCCAAAAATTGAGTTCCCACGTTTTGATGGTAATGGGCCAAGAGCTTGGATACTAAAATGCAACAGCTACTTTAAAATAGTGCCAAATATCCCCGACCAACAGAAAGTTACATTGGCTTCCATGCACTTGGAAGGGAAAGCAGCTCAATGGTTTCAGAGTTTCCACACCAGGTGTGATGATATTTCATGGCCCCAGTTCATAGAAATTATCTCTGGCAGGTTTGAAGAACTTAAGGAATCAAAGATTATTGGGGAATTCAATAAGCTCAGACACAGTGGATCATATTTGGAATATGTAGAGAAGTTTGAGGAGCTCAAAGCTTGCATGATATGCATGAATCATGGTTATACTGAGGAATATTTCATTGCAAGTTTCATCAGTGGTTTGTCTGAGGAACTACAATCTTTCATCAATATGTTTGAGCCACAAACCTTGCAGCAGACCATTGAATTGGGAAAGAAACAACTAATCACACTTGAAGCCATTACCAAAAAACTAAAAACACCAGCTAGACCCTCACCCAATACCTACCCACTTCCCAGAAAGTCTGACACCTACAACCCACTGCCACTCAAACCCACCAATTCACCCAGGAGCCCTGTGAAACTTCTTACTGCATCAGAAATGGCAGCAAGAAGAGAGAAGGGGTTGTGCTACAATTGTGATGAGCAGTTTACCTATGGCCATAGGTGTAAACACA